GAAGAAGAAGAAGAAGAAGAAGAAGAAGAAGAAGAAGAAGAAGAAGAGGAAGAAGAAGAAGAAGAAGAAGAAAACACCTTAAATGATAGTCCATACACCATTTGTGGAGTTGAAAAATTATGTATAAAGAGTTTTTTTTAAAAAAAAAAAAAAAAAGCTAAGAGATGCATAATCCCAGAAGATCAAAATTCTATGATCTGACCACACATAAATGGATGGTATTTTAAAGACACTTCAGAGGCAGGACAGCCTTCATGGGAAAGAGCAAGTGGAATGACATTGTTCAAATCTTTCTCCCAAGTGCATCGAGAGCACAGAAACTGTGGCTTTGTTTCCGCCCTTCTCCTGACCAAGTGAAATGGGTGAGACGGAACCTATAAACCAATACGCAACGAAGAAAACAAAGACGTGAAACTTTAAACACAGATCTGATCCTCATAACTGCCTTCCCATTTTCCAAGCACTGACTTTTTCAGATTCAATTCTAGCCAATAAGGCAGGGGACTTTCTCAGAGGCGCACGGCGGGTCCAAAAGCTATCCCGGTGACTTAAATTTGATGAAGTAGCCGCTTTCCCAGCGATTCCCAACTTAAAAGGAAAGCTTCCCCCAAAAGCTGCCTCTAAGAATTTGGTCAGCGCTTGCAGCCCCGCTTGGGAAGCGATGGGACAAGTAAGAGATTCATCATCAAAGTGAAATTCAGACCTATTCGGATGAACCTCCGCTCTACCCACCCCCTTCCCTAGCTCCTAATCTAAGGTCTGGACAGGTGGGAGGGGGCACATCTCTCTCAGGAAACAGATGCAACTGTTTCCTCCACCACCTCGTTCCCGGCCCCCACCCACCCCAAGCCACCAGGTACCACTGCCTACGCCCCCTCCCCCCCCCCCTTAGGAGAGGGATGGGATGGGCAGGATGGGGGGAGCCCACCGTGGGCGGGATGGAGGTGGGGAATGTTCTGAACTGCAACTCTCCTTACCACTGGAGCGCCTGACGATGTTCTCCAAAAATGTGTTCTGCGGCGCCACCAGCCCTCTCTTGCCCCCCGGCATCCTGGGTCTGGAGAGCAGCGGCCAGGATCCGCGGCGGGGGAGGGGGGGAAGCAGGAAGAAAAGGTGGAAGAAGAGGAGGAAAAGGTGGTGGAGATGAAGTCGAAAGAAAAGGGGGCGCGGCGGCGGCGGCGGGGTCCCCTGACTGTGTCTCCAGCCTGACCCGGATGAGCAGCTCTGGGGAGGAGGACCAGGCAGTTCATGGTAGTAACGCTCCCCCGGCCGCCGCTGCCCAGACTGTGGCGGTGCCGCACACGGGGCTGGGGAACTGCAGGCTCCGCCGGGCACAGTGCGCCTGCGCCGCCCCCGCTGTCGCTGTCCCGCCGGTGCTGAGGCTGAGGCTGCTGCTGAAGATGCTGCCGCGGAGGCAGGAGCCCCGACGCGGGCTCAGCATTTTTCCCCTCTGCCCCGCGCCCGAGCTCTGGGAAAGAGCGTGGAGGGACTCTACTTCTTTCTTCCCACCTCTAGCCCAAGCCAAGACCCCCTTCCTTATCTCTGCTCCCTCGGTCTCTTAGCCCATCCTTCTCACGCAGCTGCTTCACAGCTGCCCAGGGCAGCCTAACTTCTGCCGGGCTTTGCGAGCGCCTAGTGGCGGCTCCTTTCTCCAGAAGATCCAGACAAGTGTTCGCTGGCCGGTGTGGGCTGTTGTTGGCAGAGGCAGGCAATGTCAGGGGGAGGAGAGTCACATCTCAGCTTCTCCCGCCACCATCCCAAACCCCAGCAACTCCGGGGGCCGCTGGTCCTGGAGCTGAGGGTTCCTGCTCCAGCCCAGGCTCTGCGCCGAGTAGGAAGTGACTGGGTGGCGCTCCGGGACGCAGAGCAGCCACCTGACGCTGCTACCGCCCCCCTCCGGGCTCCGGCGCCTGAAGCCTCAACACGGGAGCTTTCTGCATCCTGAGAACCCCCACTATCTGGAGCAGGAGCCAGATGGAGTATGAGCGCAGAGCTGGCACCCCAATGGCGCTGCGCCCCAGGCTTGATTTGGCGCGGGGGGTTGGGGGGGCGCCTACACGGCCTCTGGAGAGCTTCCCCGGGGCTGCTGAGCGCAGGAGGAGAACAGGGAGCCCAATCCCCCCTACCAAACTTGCAGAAAAAGAGTTCAGCTGACGCTAGGAGTCCTGGGAGAGAGTGAAATTCAGACAAGAGCGAGAGCAACTGGCAGAGTGTATTTGGAAAAGTGGTACAAGCCGCCTTGAGAATGAAGCCGCGCAAGGCTGAGGAGAGGCCGCCCTCCTAGGCGTTCAGGAGGACTGGACTGGAGTGGGACTGTTAGAAGCAGTCCAAAAGCAGGGGACAGCCACACAGGAGGGAAATTTTCACAAGTACGAATGGGGCGGGAAGACCAAGAAAGAAAAGGAGATGCTCAAGCTGCAGCAGCCACTTCTTTCTTCAAAGGCATTGTTTTTGTTTTTTGGGTTTTGTTGTTGTTGTTGTTGTTTTGGTGGTGGGGGTTAGGTTTTTTGTTTTTTGTTTTTTGTCTCCAAACTGCAGCATCAACACCGGCTAAGAACTCCTGACCTGCAAATGTGGGGCGCTTTTCCCCAAGTGGAGGTGCTAAGACCTCTGAGGATGGAGTTTAACCATCTGTTGGTAACAAGCCCTCTGCCTAAATATGATACACAAGCCACAAGCTAAGAAGGGCAGGGCCTTTCCTTCAGGAAACCCCCCTGGGGGGGGGCGCTGTGGAGGCAGGAACAGAAAAGGCTCTGGAGCAGGGCACAAAGGGTAAAAAGGTTAGTTTCACTGGTGTATCTTCCTTGCTGGAGTCAGGCTATGCCAGGGGCAAGGTAATCTTTGTGGAAACCCCCGTCAAGATTCTTAAAACAGAGGGCAGGCTGAAAGTCAGGGCGCCATAACATCAACTCACTATCCATAGAGGCCAAATGACTTTGAAATCTCTCTCTCTCTCTCTCTCTCTCTCTCTCTCTCCTCTTTTCCTTCCTTCCTCCCTCCTTTCCTCCACTCATCCCTCTCTGCCTTCCTCCCTCTCTCCCTTCCTCCCTCCCTCCCTTCTGTTCTCAAGTCTCTTTACCCTCCTCTCCCAGTCTCCTCTATTTTCTGTGTCCATCTATGGCAGAGAGTTAAATGTAAAGCCAGGATTCGGGTTTTACCCTTGGGTAATTTTTCTCTCCTCTGAAATCGCCACTGTCCACTCAAAACCTGGGCAGGTACGCAAACCTGAAGGGTAAACACAAAGCAAAAAGTTAGTTCTTCGGAGATCCCTAATGAGGGGGGAAAAAATAAATAAATGGAGACATTGTGGTTTGCTCCAGCGTTGTCTGGTTTGTTCCAGCATTCCATCTAAAGCAGTGGCATGCAGAGAAGGCAAGTTCAGCCTCCTTCAGATAGAATGTCTCTTCAATACATTGGGGGTGCCCTGAGTTAAATAACAAGGGGCTCCAGCACAGACTGCATCTATATGCCTAGCTTGCCACAGGTTGGAGTCAGTAATGCATCCTCAGACATACAGCTCCCTCATGCAGCTGGTAAGCTATGCATGAGGTTTGGGGACAGGAAAAACAACAAGGAGCTGACACCCAGACCCAGCACTACCACCCTAATTTCCAACACCCTCTGTTGTATCTTATGTGACCTATGCTCAGAAGATCCCAGAGTACTCAGCTGTTCGCTGGGGTGGTGAATATCCAGGCCTAGTGTTTGAAAAATGTGGACATATCTATCGTGTAGGTTCCTATCCTTGACTTGTAGCATCTTATGGTGGTTCTATCATCTACACTGACAGGGAATATTTCCAGCCTATATGTTCTTTTGCACACCCTCAGCTGCCCACATCTCGCCTCTGCATATTGATTTCCAGTCTCAGCTTCCTAGCATTTCCCATCTAATATAAATATCCCCGTTTCTAATCATTTCCCTGTGGGTGTATTAGCTCACACTTCCCAAAGAGGAAACTCTTTCGGGCTCCATTAAGACACAGTCACACAACCACTGTAGAATGTACCCATTTGTTTCCATCCACAGATATAATTAAAATGGCATGCCTCCTTCCTTCTTTAGCCTTCATTTCTGGATAGCATTGTAACTTTGGGGTTATCTTAATGAACTGTAGGGAGCGAAAACAGCTGGGCACGATAAAACATCAAGGCATTTGGTTACACACGCGTTTATTAATCTTCCAGTCTAAATTTTTGTTCAGGCAAAGCCGATACCTGGAAAGATGAAGTGTCTTATTTCAGAGGACACAGTGCTTTACCGTCCTTGGGGTAGAAACTATAATAGGGCCTCCTGACCCATAATCAAGGGTCCTTGTAAGTAATGATCTGAGCTTGAATTTGTGTGGCAACTGTCAGTCAAGAGCTTCCGGTCATCTTTACTGCCATCACTCACAGCTAGGGCAAAGAGGAACCCCGAGCAACAACTTGTAACAGCTCCCAATCAAATCACAGTGGAAGAAAGCAGAGCAGAGAAGCAGCAGCAACAGCAGCAGCAGCAGCAGCAGCAGCAGCAGCAGCAGCAGATGGACTGCCTGGCCCTAAGGACTGTGCCGGCAGATTGCAGCAAGGTGCCAATACAGCATTTTCAAAGGGTTTTGCAGACAGAGTCCATATGTTGTAACCAAACTACAGGGTTGAACTGGTGAGAAAGTAAGAGATTTAAAGGCTTCAATAGCACACAAATAGGTTTTTTTTTATTATTTGTTTATTTTTATGACCAAAATTCCATTTCAGAGCATAACCACTTGAGCTTTTTCTCTTGTGTCTTGAGGTTCGGTGATTAGCAAGGTGTTGTCTGAGAGAACCAAGAGTTCCAGCCCCTAGCTGGGTCTTCTGCCTCTGGAGTCAACAGCAGGTGTGTTCCGGTTTAATAAGAAGGAATGTAAAAGGAAAGCCTTAGAGGTTAATTTATTGGGTAGTGATGATTTGTAACCACTGCCAGTTCCCTTCTTTTTAAAAAGGGTTCTTCCTTTGAAGGGTCTTTTGGTTTTGGTTTTGGTTTTTTTAATGTAGCATCTGTAATTAGATTTCAATTTTCTAGAAGTGGTCATGTTGGAACCTTTGTGTACAGATGGCCCAAACACCACTCCCTACAGAAATGATTCTTTTCTTCATTTGGGCCATCTTCCGAGACAGAAAGATACAAATCCATCATGCAGTTTTCAGGTGCTGAGTGATAGGCTTGGATGGAGGGATGGGAAGAAAAAGAGGGAGGGGTCATAAGTTCTGTCCCATGCTGTCCTCCAGGGTTGGCCTCTTTAGCAGCAGCAACCATTCCTTCCCTTCCTCCCACCCCCAGCCTCACTCCACGTTCTCTCTAGACCACGAATATCGATGATACAAACATTGCTTTACTCTCTTGCACGCACAATGTCGTGCATTTACACTTAGACATCAAAACTCTCCCTCCCCACCAACCCAACTCCATACACACAGAGTCTGTTAATGGAGTACAAACTAGACATAGAGCATAATGCAGAGGCTCCATGCTTGGACCTCACACCCAGGCTGCCTGGAAATTAGACTTAACGTTTGTTGCTTTTATGACCTAGGACAATTTTCCATTCTGAAAAAGGAGCACAAAAATGAGACCTATATAGTAAGGTTTTTTTTGCAAGGATAAAGTATGTCTTATTTGATGTTATTAAAACATAGGGTATGAGTATTACTTATTTTCCTCATTGTTGTGGTTAAAATACCCTGACAAAAGCAGCTTAAGGGAGAAGGAGTTTATTTTGGCACACAGTGTGAGGGTACAGTCCATCATAGATGAAAGTCATGGTATCAGGAGCTTGAGGTGGCTAGTCATATTATATTTACGGTCAAGAGGCAGAGAGTTTGTGCTCAGCTTGCTCTCTCCTCTTTATTCAGCCTAGGACCCCAGCCTACACAATGGTGCTGCCCCATCCTGGAAAATCTCCCCCCAACCCCCGCTCAATTAACCTAATCTAAACAAGCAGGTGAAAAAGCACTGTGTTCGTGTGTGAAAGTACATGTGTGAGCTTTCTACTGTCCTTTGCATTAGAAGCTCTAGGTGGTGATCCCCTC